GTGGCGGGGTGGGGGTTGGGGTCTGCTCTGCTGAGCCCCCATCCCCCCCGAATCGTTCTCTTTGGAAAAGACCTGTTTGACATCATGGTGTGAAGGGGAGGCGGCGATTTCCTGGGAGACTTGGGTGTCTCTGTGGCTTCTCCAGGGGTTTTTCTGATCCTTTTTTCTTATGGGCGGGCGCTTTGCCCCCTGCCGGGCTCCCCAGCAGGCAGGGCCAGGAGCCCTGGTCAGATCTTAGAGAATCTGGGGGTTCTGGTGGGGCTTTCAGAGGTGATTCTCCAGAAAAATAAATAAATAAATATTTATATAAAATAATAAAAAGTCACAGGTGATTCACACCCAGTGATTCAGGAAACTTGAAATCTACCAAGATTCAGAAAAATCCCCGTGGCTGGAGGGGAAAGGGTGTGATTCACCCTGGGGAGCAAAGATAGCTTTGCTGGAAGTGGCTTTTCAGCTCTGCAAGCAGCCCCAGCTGCTTTTCCTCACCCCCCTCCCTGGGAGGCTGCCAGGGGCTTCACTGCTGGTGCTGAAAAATGCCAGATAAGCAGAGGTTTGGGACTGGAAAAATGCCTGGCTGCTAATTATCAAATTACCTGTCTGTCCAGCAGTAGCAGCCCTGCTCATACCTCGGGTGACATGCCCTGTGCTCTGCTCCCTGCACACAGCCCAGCAGAGAGATTTTTGAATTCTTGACTTATTTGGCTGAGCTTTGCTGGGGAAAATGGGCTCTTGGCTGCAGAGGGTCCTGCTCTGGCTCCTGAGATGCCCCCTGCCCTTGGAGGTGGGGGCTGCTGGGGACGTGGCCTTGGCAGAGCTTTCTGAAGGTGGAAGGTGCATCAAGACCTGTGGGAAGCAGGTGGGGAGAGTGAGGAAAAAGATGCTGGAAGTGACTGTGGGGGAAGAAGAGACGTTTCCTGGCCAGAGATGGCTTTCCGTGGGGTTAGGTTGATCATGGAGAAGAGGAAGGTGAGGAATCAGCTGATGGGGACTGTCCCCATGAGCCTGGTAACTAGTGAGTCTGAGCTCCTCCCAGCATGTGCTTGCAGGGAAACTCCTGGTCTTGGGGGGAGGCTTGAGGTCTCACCATGAACCTCAACTCTGAGCTCACCTCGGGGTGAGTTTTGGTGGTGAACGTAGCAGTGGTGGCTGCTTGGGCCTGAGTGTCCCTGCCCCTGGGTTATCCCTGTGCCCCTGCTGTCATGCCCAGCTGGTGGGATGTGTGGTTTCAGGCTGAACCCTGGCACAGCACCTCTGCAGGATGAATCCCATCCACATCTCCACCACATTACCCCCCTCTGGGTCATTCCTGGTTCTCGCCATTTCGGATTTAGCATCTCTTACTATTACCTCATTAGGTGGCAGTGTTGGTGAGAACTTCTGCAAAAAGCAAATCTCATCTAAAGCCCTTCTTCCTTTTTACAAACCACTTCTCTTCCACCTCAGAGACATTGCATAACACCTCTGTGGCAGGGCTGCAGAAAAACCAGCTGGGAACGTGGTGCTAGGTGGGCAGCAGGTGTCTGGTGTTTGTGGCTGCTCCTCATCATACTGAGCAACAAAGGTTGTGCAGGAGCCTTTTGACAGCTCCTCTGTGTCCACAGCAAGGAGGTTGTGGGGAGTGAGACTCAAACCACAATGTGTCAGCAAACGGCTAGTGGAGAGGGTTAAAGAGGGGGGAGAGATGAGGGATAAGGGGAAATTAGTTTGAAAGCACCAGCTCTGCTATTGGAATGGCCAGTATGGACATTGAGAAATGATGGTGGCAAGCAAGATCATTTGCTGAGGGGTCTAAATCCTGCCTGTAGCTCTGGTGCAGAGGTGGCCTGCTTTGCTCTTGCAGTGCTTTTAAAATGTTAAGACAGTAGGGAAGTAATTCCCAGCCGGCTCTGCTGCATTGGCTTTGGAATTGCTGATGCTGATGTGAACTGTTCCCTGCTTCCACCAGCAGCCTCTTTAAAGAGATCTGTTTGCTGGTGTAAAGAAGAGATGCATGGCAGGTGGAGAGGAGTCTCTGGTTTCAGGTGGTGTTTTAGGATGTGGTTTCACCAACTGGTTGGTGCTGTCTAATCTGTGCTGCTGCTGGAAAAGGGGGCTCTGCACCCCCAGACCCCTCTGGTGCCAGCAGGAGCAAGGGGCTGACATGCAGTTTCTGCAGCCAGGAGGGGCTGTGCCCTGTGCTCTGCAGGAGCTGTGCCCTGTGCTGAGCCTGGCCAGGGCAGAGGGAAGGAAACAGGAGGGTGCAGCTGGAGGGTGGGAGAACCTCTGTTCCAACCAGTCATGGTGACATGGCAGTTTGAAATGAGGTTTTTGGGGTAAAAAAACCAAAACAAACACAAAACAATACAAACAAAAAACCTAAACCCAAACCTTTCTTGCAGCCAGAATCCTCTGGGCTGTCTGAGCCAAGGATGAGCAGACCCTGGCAGGGCCAGCCAGGAGAAACTCCTGGTGTGGAAGCAAAGCTGAGCTCTCCTAGTCCCAGGAGGGACACGTTGGAGCAGCCTGAGCAGCTTCGTGCCCGTGTCACGGCTCAGTCGAGGGCAGGAACATTGTGGGGAAAATCATACCCCTCCCTGAGGCTGTGATCCTGGGAAAACACCCATTGGGAATGTGCCTGGGTGGCTGAGGGAGGAACAGCCCCTGGAGTTTGCTGCTGTTTCATGATTGCCATGAACGAGTCGCCCCGCGATGGGCAGGGGTGATATTTTCTGTGGTTCTGCACCTCTGGGGGGGTCCTGGGGTGTGTTCACAAACCTTCCCCCTTCCTCCCACCCTCCCTTCCTGGTGGGAAATTCCGGGGCTGAGCCCAACCGTGGCAGAAGGTGAAGATGCTGCAGGAAGGAGTCCCGGCGGGTAGGAGGGAGGTGTCACCTCTTGGGTCCCTTCTTCTCCCCCAGCCCTGGGCTGTGCTTGGTCTGTCCCTCCCTCCTGTGCCCCCCCCGGGTGCCACCATGACCCCCTGCCTTGTCCCAGACCTCTCTCACTTCCTCAGGGCTGCAGCTCTGGGTTCTGGCAGTTGGAA